CCCCAGACCTCTGTCCTGGCGACCCTCTGCCCAACCAGCCATTTGTTTTGAAGGTTTCCAAAGGTGCCAGAGAATATTTGGCAGGCTGCTAATGACAAGAGTGGCTATGAGCAGCATGCAAATCACTGAGCTAAATATAAGCACAACCTACTTCCACATCAGAATAAAACTAACCAGGCAGCTGCTTTCTATTTCTGCCTCTACACTCAACGAGAGGCTGCATCAAAGATCCTTCACACCACTCTTCATTTTGTATTTGATCAGTTTGGCATCAAGCACAGATCGTCAGTGTCTAGCAGGACACATTTATCTCGAAAACAGTGCATTACCAACAGACTGGAAATCAACCCTGAGCTGGCAGCCACAGCTGAATAACATTGCAGCTGTTGTAGCTGCACAGCTTCACACTGAGGAGGTGCTGAGCCGTCTCAAACGGTTATGTAACTAGTTCTACTGAGCATCCTGGATAATATGGTTCACATAACAACTCGAAGATCACACTGTATTTCACCATCCGCTAGACATTCACATTAAAATCAAAGTTTAGCCAAATGTAAAACAATTATTGCAGGAGATAGCTGCTTTTCATAGATCATCGAGAGATGGATCATAACAAGCTGCATCACACGTGACAACAACACCAAGACAAGATGGGAGAGACAGAATATGATAGAAAGGTGAAGAGAGGGAGGAGGGCGGGAGGCTGGTAATAAACCTACCACTGCTATAACCTGCCATTACATGTCACATGGCCAGGCACCATTGGTCCTCCACATGTCTTGGCTGTGTGTGTGTGGATCAATCTGTAGAATTATACCTCCCACAGTTACACACAGTAGCTGCAAGACAATAAAAACAAGGAGTCGTAACAAACGGGAACATTACATAAATGCACTGCACCAAAGTCTACGATAAATGGGTAAAGCTCTGTATGCAAAAGTTACTCTTAATACTGATTTGTCTGTGTTTGTTTTGCTTTGTTTTTGCCAGTCTCTGAAACCAATAGAATTACACTGACATGTTAAGATCGTTTAAAATAAAATTCCAAATGCACTGATTTGGAGATTTTATTTGTCCACTTTGTCTTGAGTAACAATCAACCTGCCTAAATCTTCTCTACATCTATTCTTACTATTAACATGGGAATATGTGATCTGTAGGACGGCATGGTCCCGAGCCAACAGAGAAGAACCGTGCCCAGTCGCACTTCTACACCCACAGTCAGAGAAGCTACTCCTTTGGCTCTAAATCTGGAAGCCACACTGACTCAGCTGCCACAGAGACAACACCTGTTACATCACCTTCTGTGTCCAGCAGCCACACTCTGCTGTAGCTGCAGCTTTAATGCTGCTATATTTGTCTTCTCTGTAACATCTGTCTTTGGTCTGAATGTCAGTCCACAGGGACACACACACTGGGTTGTCTTTGACGGAAACAAACAGGAAGAAATAAGTCAACGTTGTTTCAAGCCTTTGTCATTCTCTGCTTATAAATAAGGATTTCAAATTTTGCCCGGCCCTATGTCATACAATATTCAAGCCACCCTCGAAAACTCTTAATGAGTTTTCTCTAGAGCTTCATTACATAGAAGTTGAGATTTGGACTTTTATACTTTGCAAAAAAATGTCTCCCTAGCCCCCTGTCTTGTTTTGGTAGACTCTGAGCATATCCTGCAATAGTTGAGCTCCCAGCATCGAAGTACATGTACAGTCCCAATAACACCAGTCAAGTACTGTGACTCACATGTCAGAGCATGTAACTGCAGCAGACTGTTGTCTTACCATCAGTGCACTCTTCATAGTACCAGTCCAGTTCATAGTAGTCTGCCTTGACAAACCTCTGGCCTCTGCTCTGGGCTCGTCTCTTCATCCTCACTGCTCTACACACAGCTGTACTGTTTCAAATGTCCCAGCATACTTAGCTGTAGCATCTCCTCCGTCGGTCAGTTACTGAGTGCCAAGTGCTGCTATCCCAGCATGCTTAGCAGTGACCAGCTGGCGTTGTTGGTGGGAGTCTGCCCAGGCTCATCATATGTTCTCTCTGTGCCCCTCTCTCATTAGCAGCAAACTGTCAGCGTATGATGCTCCATGTTTGTTGTGGTGCTGGTGCCATTTTTTTTGCGTGTCATTTTATTGTCCTTGGTCGAGCAGGAATTCCTGATTCCTGACAGTCATTGTGCCATCTGTCTTCAAGATCTCCGTCTTTCTTCTCTGTCCATCAGTTTGACTCAGTCACTCCACAGCTTCAGTCAGATTTGATCCTCTGTCCTGTTCATATCCATTCAGAGCTTCTTGTCAGTTTCTGCTCCTCCCAGTGTGTCCTCTGTCCGAGTCTTTCTGAGGTCAAATTACAAACGCTGTCCTCCCTTTTGTAACAGTCCTTGCTTAGTGACAGCACTACCGCTGCACATGGACATCTCTTCACAATGACTCAACACAGAGGTACAGAGAGTGAGCAAGCAGCAGCAGCAGCAGCAGCAGCAGCAGTCACGGGTTTTGCAGCAGAAGTGATGAAAATCATGACACAGTGGGGTGGGCGGGTTTAGAGATCGTCAACAGCCAATCAGACAGAGTGCTGTCCCCAGCTTACTCCCACCCACCCCCGTTCCTATGTAAGCATCTATCCCTCCTCTCCTCTACTTCGTCCTTCTGTGTGGTTGCTATAGTAACCGGGCTCAGACTCCAAGGCCTGAGGCTGAGCAGCATGTAGAGGCGAGTTAGTGTAGTGTTGGCAGAGATGACGTGGCTAACCCAAAAATGAATGAGCATGAATGGTATTCAGTGATTGGCTGTTTTATCAGGGGGGTGATGATACAACCACATGCACAGAGCATGGCAGACAGAGTGCAGGGGTCTGATCACAGCAAAAGCAAAATGCAAAGTAGGCTGCATCCCAAAAACAATACAAGCTAAATTCAATGTATGAATTAAGGGATTAAGGCACTTGCAGATATTTCTATACTAATAAAGGCAGAACTAGAGTCATTACTGCTCCAGACTTTACTTCTGTGATGCAGTGATGTTACATCAGCTCAATACAGCTCATGTGCTATTACTGCATGAACATGCATATAGCATAACTCCACTCGTGTAGTATAAACAATCAATATATATATAAGTCTTAGATGTTTTTAATACTTTTTTGTGCAAAATTCCAATTGCTATGCAATTATAAAATTACAATAAAACACTCTCTATATCAAAGGTGGGAAACCCCTGATTTACCTCTTTCTTCTGCTTTACTAATAATATTACTACAACTAATTATTTCCTTTTTTATCCTGGTTTCGACGAAACTTCACACACATTCCTACCTTTTCATCTATGCATTTAAAATGTATGTAGTGGCAAAATAAACAAAACTAAGCTGTATACAGCCTTGGAGACTATTTGAAGCAGCTCAGGAGACAATTGATGAAAACAAAACAGGCAACTTTCTTTTCAAATCACTGCTTAGTTTGAAAGCATGTGGTCACTAGGATGAAATAGACAACTCCAAGCATGATAGCAGCTGGAAGCATTCAGCTAGCACGGACAAAATGCTCTTCAGTGGAGTTTGTTGCCCAACAAGCAGCTTTCTCAAGGCCACATTCTGACAGAGACATTGTCCCGCAGGCACGTTTTGTGGTGATTGAGGAGCTAATAGCTAAGAAACTATCAAATTGTTTATGAAGGAACGTTGTTGCTGCTGCGGGGCTGCTAGAAGCAGACAAAGTCAAATAATTTCAGTGTCAGTTTGTCTCAAAGAGCTGTCATACAGCCGATTACTGATATGTTACAAGATATTGATAAAAAACAGAAGGACACCACAAAAAGTGTCCAGTTATTCTCCTCTGGCCTGAAATAAAACAACAAATACAAATAATGTAAAGAGGTGAGGAACTGTTTTAGCATGTTGCTTAGGCTAGAACCAGCTGTGAGCATCATCTTCATCATCATCTTCAGCATCACATCTTGCTTAAGTTCCAGCCATTGCATTAGCTAGAATGATTCTGTGTGGCCGCACGAAAGGATGTTATTAAAATTGAAACGCCTCTCGATGCCTGCTTATTTATATAAATACATTGAATAATCCTCTGAGTTGAACAATCATCTAAAGGAAAGAAAGATCTCATCTGTTTATTGTTGAGCATAAAATCCCATATTTTTTAGTTTTTTTAAGATGGTTGATAATAATGGTCAACAGCTACATAACAGTTACAATAAAGCACAAAAGTAATGTTCTATATTTTATTAAAGCAGCCCTAGCAGAATATCCTGTGTTGTTCCTTATGTAGCAAGGCCTTGTCATTGTCTCTTAGCCTGGCTGACCGATCAATGTCAAGTCCGAGGTGTCAGATGTCAGTATGGGGCCTCGAGGTGAGGTTACAGTTCTTCGTTGAGCCTATTTATAAGACACTCTGTCTATTTTTAGATCTTGATTTTACTCTGAGTCACTCTTTAGGCCAACGTGAATTATACCTGAATAATTTATTGAAAAAAAAAAAAACATTTTACGTTCCCTCTGTGTGTCTTCTGCAGTGTGTGCACTGTGCACGTGAGCCTGCCCGTGTGTTTATTTGCTTCCATTTGAATGCAAGTGAGTATGTGTGGCTTGAGGGCAACCACAAGACAACTTTTAGTTTGATCAGACACATGCATAATAACACAAGAGAGGAGTGAGCGCAAAACAGCAGCCACCAGAGATTGAGAGGGAGAGCCGTCAGGTGTGTTTGTTGTGGCAACCATGACCAGCCGTCACAGCCACACTGTGTCGGGCAGATGGCCATATCTCTCTCTCTCTTTATCCTCTGATTCCTGCTCACTCAAGGTCATGATCAAATCTATATCTCAAACCTCTCCTTCTCAAATCCTCAATGTCGCAGTTCAATAACAGTTTCCTGAAGGTAAAAACTAAAAGTCAAATTTTCTATTTCTAGTGTGACTTCAGTTTTGTGCTTTTAATTTTAAACATTTCAGTTATATAGCCACACATATTAGAACAGTATATGCTGGACTTACAGAAGTATTTGAGGGTCTCATCTATCTGTTCAGTGGTCAGGTCGAGGGCAGAGTCGGGGGCCACCAGTGGCGTGTGCAGCCAATCATCTTGGTCGTAGCCGAAGATGGTGTCAGCCCTCAGCTTGTAGACCGGCAGCTGCTCCTCCAATAAACTGATGATCTCAAGCTCTGGCAAATCAGTACTGTTACACACATCTGTAGAGAAAGACAAAGAGACACTGAATGGTTAATGTTCTCTTCTTTAGAAATAATATTTTCTTAAATCTTGTTTTCAATAACAGATTACAGGCAGTGGAAAGAAGCAATGTTGTCATCAGCAGGGGCCGAGGTTGGTGATGGGCGCAGTGCCAATTCTGGTCATTTAAATTGATTTGATAATCCTATTATCAGTTGAAGGAAGACATCTCAGCAGTTTATCTGAGTTGAAAGTACATGGTGCTCTCTAGTGGCCATCTCAGGAACTAGCCAACTTCTTGTTGCAAATTCTTTGTAGAACTCAGGAAAAAGGTTAATTATGTCCAATGTCACCCCTAAGTAAATCAAATTAAATTAGTAACTTAGCTTAGTACCTGCACTGGTCATCTAAGATGGTGATAAATAATACAAAGTGACACATGACAGCAATGGTGTGAGAAATGTAAAAAGAATATATATACATATATGTACACATATATCCCCCATTATCTAGACTCATAAACCCAAATTGTGAGTAATGCAACAGTATCACAGAGCCCAAAACACATCTTTGTTTCCTTTCGTAGACGTTACATTGCTTTTTTTTCTTTTGTTAAATTCTACAGTATTTATTTCTCTTCTCTTTGTGTAGCCAGCTGATAGAGATTCAGTATAAATCTCTAAAAGGAACATAAAATACACAAGAAGGCACAGTTGGAGGGGAAGTCAACACACTAACTACGAGACACTGCAGCCAAGGAAAAGTCATACAAATAAAAACAAGCTTAGGAGGATAAGTGATGACAATAAAAAATGAACTCCCTCCAGCAGTGTTTTCCTGACTGGGTAACAATGGGCAACTGTAATCCTTTATGGTCGCCAAACCAGTTCACAGCCTTCTACTTCAAACCACTGAGTCAACATTACATTTCTGTGCTGCTGTGGAAAACTACATCATCTTACCTAAGCTTTGGGCTATGTGCCTCACTGCTCACACATCACTTTGGTGAGCTATTAAAAGAGGCACATGTTTAGAGAGCATATTCTCTCTGTTCACACAAGGAGTTCAGGTTTTAGTGACTTTTTCTTCAGAAACGTCCAAAAGAGAAGCTGTTGGACAGAATGAGAATCAAGACACAGTCCTCCTCTATTTCTGTCTCTCTGGCTCTTATCTGCTGCCCGTCCCTCTTTCTTCGTCTGTCCATGTCTATGTCTCTCGAACAATGCTGTCTCTCACAGTTTGCTAATCCAGACTGAATGACTGACTGTGCTGAAAAAGGGAAGGAACAGCCGCACACACACACATCAGCTGGTGAATCATTCAGTGAGCACAGCTGTTGAGGTTTCAACACAGGAATAAGTATTATTCTGAGTTTAATGACATTAAATAATGATTTCACTAATTTGTCCATCCGAGAATATATTGATGACTCACAAAATTCTTATTATTCGTCCCATGGCAATACATTTCTATTAAATATCTTCATGAAAATAATAGTCTACAGTCAGCTGTGACCGTGAACAATCGGGGTCCACCACCAGAATCAGATGCCATCATAATCCACAATCCATCGCCATGATTCACGGCCCCTATCAGTATCCACCATCAGCTGCCACCTCGATAATGATCCACCACCACTACCCACAGCTGCCAACACGATCATGACACCAAATAGTATTGAAACAAACCCGATCCTGAAGAAGATGTTACTCCTCATTCACAAGATTTCCTCCTGCACTGATATGAAATATGACCTTTGCACTACAGCTCCTAAAACGCGGAGTGATGGGATGTGGACGAGGGTAATAATAGCACAAACTCTTCGTGCCGCGTGTTCTGACAAAAGGTCAATGGAGACAGAAAAAAGTGTGTGTGTGTGTGTGTGTGTGTGTG